AAACAAACAGAAAAAAAACACATGGTGGATTTTCCCAGATACAGTTGTTATATACAATGCATAGTCTGGAGAAGAGGAGGCTGAGAGGAGACCTTATTGCTCTCTACAACTACCTGAAAGGAGGTTGTAGTGAGGTGGGCGTTGGTCTCTTCTCCCAAGCAACTAGCGATAGGACAAGAGGAAATGGCCTCAAGTTGCATCAGGGGAGTTTTAGATTAGGTATTAGGAAAAATTTCTTTACTGAAAGAGTGTTCAAGCATTGGAACAGGCTGCCTAGAGAGGTGGTGGTGCCACCATCCCTGGAGGTGTTAAAAAACACGTGTAGATGTGGCATGTCGGGACATGGTTTAGTAGGCATGGTGGTGGTGGTTTGATGGTTGGACTGATGATCTTAGAGGCCCTTTCCAACCTTAATGATTCCTAGTTTAACTTTCATCAAAAAATAATCCAGCCACCAAGCCAGGAAACATGAAATCAATTACTCTACCCTTAACTGGTTTAGTGGTGGACTTGGTAGTGTTAGGTTAATGGTTGGACTGGATGATCTTAAAGGTCTTTTTCCAACCTAAACAATTCTATGATTATGGCTTGTCTGAGGATTATCAGCCCGTAAGTACACAGAAATGCCAAAAGTAACCTGACATTTCCAGCAAGGGAAAAAATGGCAGAGAACCACTGATGTTCAACAATCCCCAAAGTCACCAAACTTCTCCCACTCTGATAAAGACACTACTTAACAAAAACACCATCACTTTACCAACAAACTGATCTGCTGACATTAGATTAAAACTATCAGATGACGACCAATGTTGATGTAAGAGAACAGCTTCTGTGCATTTAAATGGAAGGAATCCAAAGATTAGTGTCAATACTTAACACTTGTGGTCCAAGTTCCACATTATCACCCTAAAAATTTCAGGCCATCTGACTGTGAAACAGGCAACTGAAGCTGCAAAAACCTGAGAAATACCATTAATCAAACACATGCACTTCATAAGACTAAGACAAAATGCTGTTATTCTACAGCACAGACCCATTTCCAGAATTCCTGTGGCAACAAACCCAACTTAACTTTCTTCACAGAGACTGCAAAATATTTTCTAACAGCTTTTGTCTTTATGTATGTAGAAGGAGCTTTGTCTTTTATGCCAACTGTATGAAATTCAGCTTCCCTTAAAGAACACAAAAAGGTGGTTCAAATTAATACAAATTTCCCAAGAGGAGCTTAAATAAGATGTCAGAAGTAGCCAGCCTAAGGCTATATAGGCTACACACGTACACACCTGTACATAAGGACCACCACCCATAGGCAGCTGCATCTCTGCCAATTTTAAAAGCTAATAGTAGCTACAAGTGGCACTCTGTTTCCTCCACTGTGAGCAAATTACTATGTTCTCCCATTAGAGGCAAAGAATAAGCTTATTCAGATTGGAATTACCTGCTAACAAAACACTATGCACTTTCTGTTAGTAAATGTAGAGGCTTTCTGGGAACATTCAGTGGAACATGACAAAAGTTAACTACTTAAGGTGAAGCTTTTCTGTGCTAGACTTGTCTTCCTGGAGTAATCAAGGATTAAAGAGAGACTGATCCACTTTAGATCACAACAAGCCATGGAGTCTGGGACGAAAGAGCACATATTAATACTTGGTTTTGATTCAGAAAGCCCTGAAGAGAGATTTGTAAGGTTCCTTTTCAGACTAATAATTCTTCCTATCACTTCCTGAAAAAGGAAGACTTCTAAAGCTGTCTCAGCCCAGGCTGGCATCAGGTCTTGCTAGGGAACAGACCAAAAGGAATCAGAGAGGGGAAAAAGTTGTGGCAGTTAACCATATTATGTCTCCAAACTGGTCCAGAACACTCAATTCTAGACCATCATTCTTAGCTTCTTGAATGTGCTGACAAAATATAACGTTGACTATTGCTTCAGCTGGTGTCTTCATAAATACAGTGCCCATTATTCAGTGTCACAGAGGTACCAGAATTGTGGCACATACTAAGCAATGAGCATTAATCCCCTTATAAGTAACTCCAAGTGCCAGGATCAGTGTGCTAGGGAAAAAGAAGATCCAAACCTACTAAGAAGATCCTAAACCTACTCTACACTTTTTTCCTCTAACATCTTGTTAAAGTAAATGCATAAATGACTAGTTGTTGGATAACTTGCCATTTACCATAAGCAATAAGGACTAGGAAACAGAGTGAAAACTCATGGATTTTATTTTCCTGCCATCAGCAATAAAAAGAAACTGGAATGGCTTCTCAGCCCTTTATGCCTCCACAGGTACAAAGAATCTAATCTCACATTCACAGATTGCATGCACACGAAGAGCATGAACCACAAAAAGAAAACACACAAAGAACCACTGGGGGGGCAACTCCACAGAAGCACAAAGGCCTCTGACAAACGAGTACAGGTCAAGCATAGATGCAGTCAGGAGAACTAACTAACTGATTTACTGTCTGCTGAGCCATTAAGCTCTGACAGTCTCCTTCAGTAACCCTTCAGTGGAAGTTGCAAGATGTCTTTTAGAGCACAGCACCACTTACATCCTGAACACCTGGACTGTGCTAGAACAACAGACAATACATTCCTGTGTGTTACAAAAACACTTGGCAAACAGGACATGAAGCAACACACTCTCTGGTACCTAGTAACACTTTCGTTTACTCAAAAAGGATTACACTCACTAAATTAGTAATCTGAACAAGAACAAGGGAATGTTTTCATTTACAACTCTTTTTTCTATTTGAAGTCTATTTGAAAGCTGTTCCCATGCCACCTGGACACTCACAAGTCTATGGAGCCAGATAGGATCCGCCCGAGAGTACAGAGGGAGCTAGCGAAGGAACTTTCCAAGCCACTCTCCATCATCTATCAGCAGTCCTGGTTAACAGGGGAGGTCCCTGATGACTGGAGGCTTGCCAATGTGATGCCCATCTACAAGAAGGGCAAGAAGGAGGATCCAGGGAACTACAGGCCTGTCAGCCTGACCTCGGTGCCAGGGAAGATTATGGGACAGTTCATACTGAGTACACTCAACAGACATGTGCAGGTCAACTAGGGGATGAGGCCCAGCCAGTACGGGTTCATGAAAGGCAGGTCCTGCTTGACCAACCTCATCTCCCTCTATGACCTGCTGACCCACCTGGTGGATGAGGGAAAGGCTGTGGATATCATCTACCTTTGACACTGCCTCCCACAGCATTCTCCTAGGGAAGCTGGCAGCTCATGGCTTAGACAGGTATACTCTTCACTGGGTAAAAAACTGGCTGGATGGCCAAGCCCAGAAAGTTGTGGTGAATGGAGTTAAATGCAGTTGGTGGCCGGTCACAAGTGGTGTTCCCCAGGGCTCAGTAGTGGGGCCAGTTCTGTTTAATATCTTTATCAATGCTCTGCATGAGGGGATTGAGTGAGCCCTCAGTAAGTTTGCAGACGACACCAAACTGGGTGGTAGTGTCGACCTGCTGGAGGGTAGGAAGGCCCTGCAGAGGAACCTGGACAGGCTGGATCGGTGGGCTGAGGCTGATTGTATGACATTCAACAAGGCGAAGTCCTGGGTCCTGCACTTCGGTCACAACAACCCCATGCAACACTACAGGCTGCTGGAAAGCTGCCTGGCAGAAAAGGACCTGGCAGTGTTGGTTGACAGCCGGCTGAATATGAGCTGGCAGTGTGCCCAGGTGGCCAAGAACGCCAATAGCGTCCTGGCTTGTATCAGGAATAGCATGGCCAGCAGGAGCAGGGAAGCCATTGTCCCCCTGTACTCAGCACTGGTGAGGACAAACCTTGAATATCGTGTTCAGCTTTGGGCCCCTCAGTACAAGAAGGACATTGAGGTGCTGGAACATGTCCAGAAAAGGGCAACAAAGCTGGTGAAGGGTCTAGAGCACAGGTCTCATGAGGAGCAGCTGAGGGAACTGGGATTGTTTAGCCTGGAGAAGAGGAGGCTGAGGGGAGACCTTATCGCTCTCTATAACTACCTGAAAGAAGGTTGTAGTGAGGTGGGCATTGGTCTCTTCTCCCAAGCAACTAGCGATAGGACAAGAGGAAATGGCCTCAAGTTGCACCAGGGAAGTTTAGATCGGCTATTAGGAAAAATTTCTTCACAGAAAGAGTAGTCAAGCATTGGAACAGGCTGCCCAGAAAGGTGGCAGTGCCACCACCCCTGGAGGTGTTCAAAAAACTGTGTAGACATGGCATGTCGGGACATGGTTTAGTAGGCATGGTGATGTTGGGTTAATGGTTGCACTTGATGATCTTAAGGGTCTTTTCCAATCTAAACTATTCTATGATTCTGTCTTTGACTCTCTGTTCAATTACCTTTCTGGCTTAAACCTGGGGAACTTATTTGTAGGAAGAAAAATAAAGTGTATGACTGTTGTGAGACATCCAGGAGTTCATACAGAAAACCTGTACCTATATAGGGCAGGCAAAATATAACAGGAGTGTTAAATTTACAGAAATTGTCCTAGGACATTGGTTTTACTTACCAGACTGGAAGTGGGGATATTTGCAAGGACAAACAAATGCACAACAAGTATCATTTTTTTAACAGTTGTACGTACTACAAGGTAGACTGACATCAACAGGTATACTGTGCATCATACAGAATTAATTTATTCTTACAGTATCACAAATTGAAATGACCTTGCTGATTTCCCAATGAAAAAGTGTTTATACATAGACACTTGTACACTGATTCACATCATTATATAACTTTCATTTTCAAAATTAAGTTTAAAGAAGCATACATAAAAAATATGCTAACAAAACCAGATTAAGAATACCACAATGCAAGTAAAATTACCAGTCTTATTAAAGGAGATGGTCACTGTTACAGCATAGTACAATGCATAAATACACAAGATACTTCTATCTAAAAACATATAAAACCACATCAGCACAGGTTAGGAGAGCGTATTATGTACTGCTGAATGACAACCTCAGGAGTAAACTCTAAAAATATATGCATACATGATAGCATACTGTTTCTTACCGTACTTCTATCCTTCAAAAGCTTTTCTATCACTTCAATTAACATTTCCTTTTGCTCTGGATCAAGACTAGAAGAAAAAATAAATTTTTTTTTTACTCATTTGTTCAGACATACCCGAAATTAAAAGAGATTAGGTTTGTTGACCTTTAGACACAAGCTGGGAACCAAGTGCATTGAAGAAACCACTTCCAGAAAAATCAATGATTCCAAAGAACTGATTGTAAAAGAACTTGACTGAAAATAAAGTTAACCATGGAATATAGAACTGAATTGAAGGAGTATAAAATTAAATTATAAAGATTATCTTTATGTTTTACCACTTATGTGTGTTGTAGAAGAATCTTAATACTTAAACTCATAAAAATTTTAGGACTTAAGAAATATTAAGAGAGGCCAAACCATTAGGGAGAACTTGACTGAGCTTCAGATGTTAAGTCACAAGTATCTCACTGCTTTTGCAGAATGGAATTTCAGCATGAATGAATTCAGCAGTGAATGAACATCAGGACAAAGTAGAATCATACCTTTATTATCTAATTATCTATATAACACTTCAAGTAAGGCACTTTGTTAACTTCACTAATTTTATTCAGAAGTATTGGAACTCAAAAATTCAGACATTATATTCAGGTATACCTACACAAAGTTGGTGTGCAAGCTGATGAAAAATAGACTGCTTTAAGTCCTATCTAAATAGTAAAAACAGAGGAAAACCAAAAGTTGCAAACAACAGTCTTTGTACCACCCTTTTCGTATTCAAAGAGCAGAGAAAAATTTGCCAGAAACATCCATTATTGTAAAACTTGCTTCTTAGGTAGGTTACGACCAACTTTTCATTGCAGCTGCTGCTTCATCATGGATCTATAGAGCATTAAAAAATTGAAAGCTAAGGCAGAAGAAAATACAAAGAGAAAGCAGGTACAAAGAGCCATACAGATGTGTAGTTCTATGCCTTTGAAACATCATTTCAACGTGGATACAATTACAGGTAAGTAAGGAAGTATTTGGTCATTATTGTACACTTCAGTTTCAATGCTCAGTGTATACCCTTTCCACCTACAGATTCACAAAGTGAGTATCTAGCTGCATACTACTTCGCTAAGGCTCTAATACCTAGCAGTGCTAGAACATGCTAAATGGATAACAAAACTTTGTTAGAAGCCACCATCAGCATAAGCAAAGCAACAGCACATTGTTCCGTAAGTACTTTTACAATCACCTTTTGTTCCAACTCCTACTTTTGTCAAAAAAGGTTTACTGGATCTTCTGCCAAGGACCAAAAGCCTTCAGAGGAAAAGCCAAAAGTCTTTCTATGAGGCCTTATTTCAAATTTTCAAAATTGGTATACAATTTAAAGAGATAAAGAAGCAAGTACGTATTACCAAGAAACTTTGAAAAATACCAATTTTGTTATGTGATCAAGAAAATCTTCAGCAAGGGCTCTGATAACTGAATTCACATTCATCCCCCTCCTCTTTCCTGAAGTTTTAGATCAGGAAGGCAGCACTCTCAGAGAGAAAATAAAAGGACAGGCTAAAGAGCTCAGAGTGATCTGCTCCCATAATGGCATCTACTAGTAACAATATGAAAACTATTAATACTAGTGATGGGACTTTTTAAAAGTCCTTTTCCAAATCTCGCTGCAAGTAGGTGCAAGTACACGGTAGAGTTTTCTATTGATAGACAGAAGACACTAATAGCTTTGAAATGCACTCTAAGTGAAATAAGCAAGAGGTCTGACATTTTCAACGATAAAATTACTCCAATGTACCTGGCAACGCTGATTGCATTGGGCACAAATGTTGCTGTTCACACTATGCCTGAAATCTTTTCTGTTTGATATGTAAGCTTCCTGCTGTTAGGATTGATTGAACCACTAACGAACAAGCTCTTCTAGGTCAGACATCCATCCAAACACCATGACACTAAATGCAAGGAAGATTGGAGTATCGAACCTGCATCCAGAAGTCTGACTGGAGCACTAACTGAACTACAGGACTAGCAAACTGGTAGAGAAGTCATGGAAACCAAGAAGTAGATGGAGCATACAGCCACTATTAGAATAAACTGTTACTTCTTATGCAAATGCTTGCAGAAAATGTAGTACTTAGATGTAGGAGAGTATATAAACAATTGACTGATCTTCACATGAAAAATCCATCCCCTCCAGAATTCTCATTTTGACCAACTTCAGAGCAAGTCTTCTGAAATCACTTCCTCATTATAAATAGGCCAAAAGACAGTCTTGCCTCCAGTATATGATCTGTATCGCCAAATTGTGGAGCTACCAGTTGTGATCCTTGTTGAAGCATCTGCCAAGACTGCCTGTTAAAGACTCTTATTTGCAGGCAAGCCAACTGGCCTGCCTGTGGACAAGTTAATTTGATAGCCTCTTTACCACTTCCCAGTACTGCTGCTTCTTCAAGTGATCCAGAAAACTACATTCTCTCCCTTGGTCCTGCAGTAAACCACTGGTATCAGATACGGCATTTGTACAAGTAAATTTTGAAAATGTGACAGTGAAAGTTCACATGCTTTCTATAAGCCGTTCCCAAATCCTACCACCAAGGACACAATTGTTAGTTACAACACCACTCACAAGTAACCATGAAGCTTATTCTAGTCCAGGTAAGGTGGAATTTGCAGCTACAGCAGTTTGAAAACTTGCATTATGATGCCTAGGACATTTGCATGAAGTGAAAACTTGTAAAGGATGTACAGGCCCTCTAAACCACTAGGGAAAGCTTTATAGAACTTTAGTTTCATTGGTTTTCCTTTGCTATGTGAGCTAGATGTCCATTTTACTACCAGTCAGGAGTTCATGGAAACTAGAAGGGAACAAGGTCAATTCCTCCAAATTGTGCTGCTGTATTTTTTATCATGTGCTGTACTTTTTCCTGTAAAAAAATACCTTTTTATGGTATTTGCAAGGACAATTTCAAAATCTTGCCACTGACATCATAAAAGCAGAGGATACCATATGAATCAGAAATAAGAAAAAATACAAGTTATATGTGAAGATGCAATCATATCCGGAGATTGGATGAAAGATGGATAAAAGGTCATTTAGTAATCAAGTTAGATTTCAGCATCTTCCAGTTTTGCACCAACCACCAATAAACTCTTTAATCTGGACTAGTAAAATAAACTTTGCCTGTCATGAAAAGAAGAAATGGAAGCATCAATTTAAGTTAAAATCACATGGAATAGCCTGCTGTCCAGATACTGCTGTGCCTTGCTGGCACTAACAGACCATTACTGCCAAATTCCTCAAAATAGTTTTGATACTTTCAGGAAATCAAAGGACATTCTATGTATGGAGAACAATTCAGGCCAAAAAGTCTTTTGTGTGCTGGAACCAGATGCTAACAAAAAATAAATTACTCAAAATAGCAGGAAGGGACTTAAAATCCATTCCGTCTTGTGAGGTTATGTGATAAAAGGCTTGTCTGCACACAGAGGAGTACAAAGGTGGGGGAAACTTCAATAATAGCACCGCTACTCTGAGGGCCATCACATGAGAGCACTCACCTCATTAAAAAAAAAACAAGTGGGGCCATAGGTCTTGGGCTGGACACGTGTGTGCCTCTGAGTGAGACAACTGGAGATTTTGGCTACCAAAAGGTGGGGGAAACTTCAATAATAGCACCGCTACTCTGAGGGCCATCACATGAGAGCACTCACCTCATTAAAAAAAAAAAACAAGTGGGGCCATAGGTCTTGGGCTGGACATGTGTGTGCCTCTGAGTGAGACAACTGGAGATTCTGGCTACCAGACCAGGGCATACAGGCTAACTACTGGAGAGACTGTAAGGTCTGGAGGTTGACTAAGATACCCATTTGTGTGTTTCAGTCTGTTTCTCTCCCCTCTTCCTCTCCACCCAGTGGGAGACAACTGGAAACAAGGGGATATAAAGGCTGTTTACTGCATAGTCTGAGTGTCTCAAACCTGCTACCATGGGATTCATAGTGTTTGAGTGAAACGGTTGGGGCATGCGTGCGTCTGAATAAGGGGGTCTGTAACAGCAAATGCAGTGGGGTTGCAAGGATTGTGCACTTGTACGTGCCAGTGCCAAGGACTGGGGATCCAAGGACAGTTACTGGAAAGACTGAGCATCCAGGATCACTACTGGGGGATCCATATTGTACATATAAGTCCACTAATGGGCCTGCATCTTGATCAGCCAAAGAGTGCAACAGGATAAGGCTGTTGGTGCTGGTTTTGTCTGCAAGAGTGCTGTTTCCTGCCTGTGCTGATCTCTATAGCTGGCTACATGCATGTGTGTTGTATATGTGTGTGTATGTGCCCGTCAGGAATACATGCTCATCCTCACTACTGGTTGGTCTGAGGGGGCATGGAACTGCAGCAGCCTCAGGCTACCTGATTCAGAACACCTAACACCTCTCACCCTCCTCTTTTTGGCATAGGCAAAATGAAAGGGAAATAAGTAGTAGAACAAGTGTCTGCCTTTGTTTTGGAAAGGTACAGGTTCTGTTGCCCCACTTGTGTAAACCAGTACCCACTTCTTCCACAACAAGACTTTCTGAAGAGGGAAGAGGAAGATTTAGATTTGCATACATAAAATTTCTACAAGTTAGTATTCATTTGTCACCTGTACTGCAAACTACAGCAAATGTCTTCAGGATGAATCATACAGACACTAAACACAGACATCTTCAATTCTGAGAATACTCATCAAAATTGCTGCTACACAGATGACAATAACTGACATATTAAAAACAAAAGACAGTGCATCAGTTTCTTTTTGTATCTGTTCATAGTTAGTCTGTTATTCTAGCACGCAAGAGACTTGCCTGAATTCTAACCAAATCAGTTGAGTGACAGAATGTCTACGTACACTGTATTTTTTAGGAAACATATCTGATATATTTGAGACACACGAATCCCCCCAAGTAGTCTTAATAAAACATAACCCACAACTATCTTAAAATTGCTTTTCAGTATTTGTCAGAATCATTTACCTGTACAGTTTTTGGATTGCATGGGCTGCATTCTTCCTCACATAAGGAGACAAATCAGAAGAGGCTTCCTTAATAGCAAGCATCATAATAGGAACAATAATTGGGACACGGATACTGGATAGAACTCTTAAAGCACTTGCACGAATTAGCTGATTAGGATCCTAAAGAACAGGAGAGAAGGGGAGAAATAAAATAAGATAGTGCAGAAATGCATCATTAAATTCTCTGCAGTGTTTACACTAATTAGTGACTGCACATTAAAACATGTAAATCTATCTGACTACACATTAAAACATGTAAATCTATCTGACTATCAGTCAGGCTTGCAAGCTTAGGCCACGCTAATAAGAAAATGTGCCAAACGTCACACAAGAAACTTTCAACAATCAAAAAAAGTAAAAGAAAGTAAGAAAGAAAACACTGAAACATTACGAAAATCTCAAAATCTGGCAAAGGAAAACATTAACATAATTCACTTTCTCCAGCAAAATATGGGAATGATGGATAAAAAAGACTAATATTTTATTTAATGATCTGAAACATTTTTTGCAATCCAAGTAGAATTCAGATGTTCTGAAAAACACACCTAGTTCAGTTTTATTACTTAAATATAAGAATCGCCAAAAGAAAATGTGGTTCTCAGTTGTGACACTCCCACTCAAGTTCTTGACAACACATCCATTTTATGCTTTACCACAAGATATAAACTGAAGCCAGTAACAAAATGAATTTTCTTAAGAACATGTCAAAATATTAAGCTAAATGTTTTGAGACTTTCTTCTATTTCCTACCCTCCCTTCTTTCATCGCAGTACTTGCTCCTCTTTTACAATGATAGGGTTAGCTTGGAGATCCAACAATAGCACAAAACATCTGTATTTGGAGGAACTGTTATGTAAACCTCGTCCATTAATCATGGGTTTGGGACACATGGAAAAAATCTTGCTTAATCAAGTACTGAATCCTCTAAAATCTAGCAAATTGAAATTGCAGCAGCATTAATTCAGTGTACTGTCTGCCAGCAGGGCCTTTCCCAAAGAACTGAGAGTTGGCAACATGGTTTTTCAGACTGGTATTACTTAATAAGCAGTTCACCTAATCTCTCAAAATTCCTACATCTTAGCAGCTTCTAAGTATCTGGATGGTGAAGGCACTTAATTTGACAGTTTTGGGAAAAACAACTTGCTCTTATCAGAGTCTGCAAAGCTCATCTCCAATCACACAAGTTTAAAAGACCCTACAAAGTTCTTTCTAAAGAGGAAGAAAAAATCTCCACCCATAAAGCCAAATTATAATCTTCATTACAAAACATTACAAAAAATTAACAGAGAGAATTAATTACATTTGTCTATCTTCCACAGCAGGCTTAGTTATTTCCTTAGTTGCTGCAAATCTCAGCTAGCTTGGAGTCTACCTCCTTGCCACACCACCACTTCTTTTTGAGTTACTCACAGCCACAACATTTGAGTTACTCCCTCTCCTTCTCTTCCCACTATCCACAGCTTTTTAAAAAGTTATGCCATGAGAAATGTTCACTGTATACATATCTCATTAAAAACATAGGATAGAAAGTAATTTGAGTTTTAGCTTTTCATGGCAGTCACAGATAGTAAAGGTAGTACACATGCCATTGAGAAGCTGGGAGGAAAGGGGCAGAAAGCTCTCTCTAATCAGTTGTGCAATGCTCCTACAGTTGTAAACCTCGTGCTCTGATTGCAACATTTTTCAACAAGATGCAAGGTCTGGACCAGTGACATGACAGAAATTACTTATGAACCCAGAGTAGCCTTACAAGTAGAGCAGAAAAAAACCCACCCACCCCAACCTTTTCTTATTACAAAAACTGGCCAAATTTAAGGACAGAGAATAAATCTTTCTGTTCTCCACAGTCTCACTTCAAAGGCAATCTTAATCTTTGTTCTCTAATACCATTCGTGATTGTGATGTGAATTTGAAATGAAACAGTACAAAATGCTATTTCTTCAGAGCTTTTAATAAAAAAGTAGCATGTGCAACACATTGAATATCTTAATTTAGGTATTACCATCTTCCTTGTGTTTCAATTCGCTGTTGTACACAAGGATCTTTTACACAAACTGAAAGGAACACATGTGGTTCAGGGTAATAACAGTGTCTTCTTTCTACATACATAAGCTACCCTGGAAAGAGAAAAGGCATTCCAGAAATTAAATGTAGCACATGTGAATTTGAGAGCACCAATCTGCTGCTTTTCTTTAGTGAAGTAGTTTTATTTCACGTAGGCTTAGCTGCTTGACTTTGTCAATGACATAACTTGAAACTACTTTGATGCAGATATTTACATGCTGTAGTTTACTAGACTATGCTTACACAGATATTTTTATTTTTGTGATACCAGCTCAGAATTCTCTATGAAATGTTGTTTAGTAGTCACTCACTTTTAAAGCACGCTGGAAAGTACTGATGGACAATAATGCTAGATCTTGCTGCTCCTCTGCGTAACGCATCAGATAAACATACACAAGCTTTTTTATCTGAAAAGAAAAGCACACACAAGCTTTTTTATCTGAAAAGAAAAGCACACACAAGCTTTTTTATCTGAAAAGAAAAGCACAATGAACACCAATATCAGAAAGTTTTAGAATTCTATAAAACTAAGTCCTAGATTGCACATTTTCATTAACGATTTCTTCTTTGAAGGAAGAGTTAATATATCACTGGATTACTCACATGCTTCTCAAATGTCTTATGATTTATTGTAATTCTTTTAAGAGAAACTCCCTGAGGTGCCGCAGTATTACCTAATTAATGATATAGTCAGATGAAGGCTAATAACACAAAGTACTGATTTATATTATCAACTAGTAAATAAAGACTTGAATAATCTAAGAAGTTGACATGTGGCAACTCACCACCTGAGCATTCCTCATGTTTTTTTCTTATGGAAAATAGGTTAAACTACAATAGCCAAGGATTTCAACAATCCCATTTTACTTTACCCTGAAACTCAAAATCAATTACTTTAACACATTTGAAAGAGAATGTAACTTCCAGCTGTAATGTGGTAAGTTACACTATTCAAATTGGATTAAAAGAGCACTTCTGACTATGTCTTGGACAAAAGCAAAGGGTATTAGATCTGCCTTTGCCTGACTACAAGCATTCAAAAGGTGTAGCCAATATAAGCATAGTACAAAGGATGCAAGGTTCAAAGATTAAGAAAACCTCAGTATGATTTTGGGGGAGGAGGGTATTCACTTTAGTTCACTTTACCCCCTCATGGCCACTGTATGCCCAGGAAGCAGTGAAAACATTTTTTACATTTGAGTTGTAAACCAACTATTGGGGTTTATAATGGAAAATTCTGAAAGACCCTCAACTACAGCTGTGCTATAATTACTGTCACTATCAGAAGACATATCTTTGTGCTAATTCTGGCAAAAAGCATAACATTAAATCACAGAAGGTTACACCATACTAAATTATTTGTTGTTCAGCTATAGACAAGCAGCAATCAACATTGACCACAAGAGGCCTATGCACTGAATGACTGCAGGTGTGCAAAGAAAGCCTCCTTTCCTTGAAACCACTCTGTGACTAGAAATGGAAGCACTTAGAGCTTCGTGACTACACTATTCTTTTACCATTTACCTTCATTCAATGTTAAAATGGTCCTTTCTATAAAACTAATCATAACAGGGGCACATTAGGCTTGAGGAACACAGGCAGATTTGTTTAATTAGTTTATCAATATAAGCACATCAAACTCCATGAGTTATTGACCAAGACTTATTTTTGTTCTATACCACCAATTGTTTATTAGGTCACTTTTTGTATCCTTACCATCCATGACATGATGCACATAATCAAGTTGAGGTCAGCATGTACTTATAAAAACAAAAATCACAAGGCACTTCTGTAAACAATAAGATGCCCTTTGCTTCTTTTAAAACAAATGAACGTGTCCTACTGCCTCTTCACCGCCATTTCCCTGTATCAGAGCATTCAGCCCTGATTAAAAAAAAAAAAAACAAAAAAAACCAAAAAAAACCCCACCACACCACAAGCAGCCATTTCTGGGCAGGAAAGTCACTCAGATACAAAGTCACTCAGATGAACCGATGTCTTTTATGCTACTGCATTGTAGCAATTTGTACACACAGATTTGTGTAAGAATTCTTAAGGACAAGGAAAAATTTGGCAAAACATTTTCAGAAAACAGTATCAGGATCAATGTACTAAGAATCTGACTTAACCCAGTAATTTCTCATCATTTCAAAAGCATCCTAAAAACTGGAACATGATAAAGGTTTCTGAGACCCAGAAGTGCTAACTAGATGGCGGTAAGTATAGCTACATCACAACCTAAACTTGTCATCTAACTAACTGTGATAAAGAAGAGACATTAGTCAGCTGGCTTTACTGAATGCCCTGATCTCTTTTCAGTTTAACAGTCTCTTCCCACACAAATATGTTAGCACTAAATGGTGGAAAAATAAGTAATGAGGGAACTTGAACTACAACATAGAGGAAGACATATGAATTCATGTAACTCTGTATTTGTTTTAAAATATAAGAAAAGGCCCATAAAACAAAACATTGCAAGGCTTCTGCTAATTAACGTTAGGTTACATGATAAAACCTTGTCTGCACACCCACAAAGGAGCACAGAGAGACAAGGGGGGTGGAGGGGGTGTTTGCAATTAATACCCTGCCCTAGCTTCTCCCAAGCCAATGACAGGAACCATCAGCCCAGAGGTGCAGAGAAACACAGTAGTAGGAAGGAACCCAAATTTAGGATTCGGAGGAAAGGACACCCTCTCAGGCCCCTCCAAGGACCACCTCAGGAGAGCCTCAGCTCCCATGTGCAGGTGTTAAACCTATCAAGAGTCAACACCAGAGCCTTTCAGACTGAGGGGCTTTTCTGCATACAGGTATGGGACACAGATGAGAGTATTTTAGGATTGCACAAGACTTATCATGGGATGTTTTGGGGAGGAACCAAAGTGAAGGAGAAGCAGGTGGAATCTATGCAATCCAGGGAGGAACAAGTCAGGGAAAATAGAGGGATAAGCAGATAAAAGCAGCTGAGCACGTCTAAACAGTTTGCTGGTTGGTACATCTACCCTTCTTGTGCCCTGTGCTGATCAGCACAGTCTGTTGTATTTTCTCATTAATTCCATTTTTAACTGTTTTCCTTGGTGAAGTACTCTCAATTCAGTATGAAGGTGCACGTACGTGCCAGCAACTACAGTCAGGCCACAGGCTGGAGGGCCCATGTGTCCATGGGCACCAGCAACTAGAGAGACCAGCGTGAGGGGACTTAAGTGTGACTCCAGCAACTGGAATAGGACCTCAAGTCATAAGGGCCCCTATGTCCATGCGGGCCAGCACCTGGAACAAGTGAGAGTATGGCTGTGAGCACCTGGGCAGGGACCACAGGCCAGAGGGCCCATAAGCATGGGTGCAAGCAACTGGAGTATGCATGCAAGAGACTGGAGTATGTGAAACCAAGCACAAGCCCATATATCTGTGGTGCCAGTGACTGGAATGGGTGCAGGTGTACCAGTGAATGAAAAGCTGCACTAGCTGGCAAGTAGGTGAAGTGTCCTGGGAAGAAGGTAGGTAAGGGTATGGGCATCTAACGGCAAGACCACGGGAGGAGCTGACTATGACATAGACCAGGGAAGTCCCATCTGGCTGCCAGAGAAACTAGATGGTCTGTGGGCCTATAGGGGCAAGAACTATGTGTTTGTGTGCACCTCTCTAAGGGTATAACCACAGGGAGTTGGCTAGTAGAGGACCAGGGGAGTTCTGGCCAGGTCCAGTTGTGTGTGTGCACATGTGCACGCACCTGTGTGTCTAAAGGGGCAAGACCATGAGGGGGTAGCTACTGGGGGACCAGGGGAGTCCTGGTTTACATGTGTTCATATGTGTACAGCACTTTGTACCAGCAACTGAAACAAGGCCGCAACCCCAGGGGCGCATATGTCCAGGTGCCAGCAACAGGGGAGACTAGGATCCAGGGGCCTGCTACTAGGCAGACTGTATCTGAGGCCAGCTGTTGGGTGGATCCACGCTGTACATATGTATGTATACATACATTCCCACTAGCAGACTCATCCTGAACTGCCAAGCTGCTGGTGCTCTTTGTGTTCATGTGAGTACCCTGTGTCAATTTATGTCTCTGTCCCCGTACATACCTATTTCTTGTGTGTGTGTGTATATATACAAAACATATGTGCATTTGTACACCTACCAGGAACACACTCCCAGCCTCACTACTGGTTTGGCTGGAAGCCTGCAGCTTGGGGCAGGCTTGCCTGTGTTTGGCTAGTGGTTCCAGCACTAACAGTTAAAAGCACTGAAGATGAGTAATACTGTTCAAGGCACTCCTCTTTGGTGTAAGGTATCTCCGTTCAAAACTGGACTCAGAGTATTCATAACTTACAAACACAAGTTAAAGAGGAAGAGAATATTTAACTAGTCTAAGTATGATTCCTTGCCCCATTTCCTTTTATGACCTATTATTAAAAGTACAGTTACAATTTCTAAAATTATTTTAAAACAGTAAGTTCTGAAAGACTCTGAATTGTCATCTTTGCACACTTACACCTACTTGACTTACCAGTAAGTCAGCCAAGCCAAATACATGCATTCTTTCAAAGAATGGAAAACACAAAGTTTTAAAGTAGTAGCTAGAGTAACTTCTTTAAAGCTAAAATTAGACTCAATCTGGACCATTACTATCTGTCCATGTAAAATGAGGAAGAAAACAGACTGAGCTGTGACCTGCTATATCACAGCACATTAGCGAGAGACAGGAGTTTGCTGAAGTCATTATTGCAGGAAATATAATCTTCAGTGCCACTAGCCAGGGGAAAAGCAACTTTTTGTTCCCATTAATAATACAGGCTGAAGTACATAGTTCTAGGACAGTAGTGAAGAACTGGAGCATGCATTCAATTGACTTATCTTCTTAAAACCCTGTGCTTCAAACCACTACTTCCTACATTTTTCCCAAAATTATGATCCTGTGCAAAAGGAAGTAACTAGTACCGTTGCATGCTCGCTCTGCTTCCCTCAAACTGGTGCTTGTTGGCCACTATGCGGTCTGGAACTACAAACTTACAGATGCTATTTTCATCCAAATCTCATTTGTCAAGTCAACTCTAACTGTCACCGCTGCCCTGGAGCTGACAGCGTATGCATAGTGCTGGTAGTGAGCATCAGAGTAACATTTTCTTTACAAAACCTCTGGTTGTACAACTTTCTAATGCAGATGCTGCTTTAGATTTCCTTGAGGCACATAGTAAGCCTGTGGATTTAAACACATGATAGTTGAATGCAATTTCCATTTTTTAAACTTCCTGGAAATTTGAATTCTTGCTAGTCCAAGATGGACGTTTTTTCTTCTTCTTGCTTTCTTGTGAGGAAAAAAAAAAAAGATACAGAAGCAAGCAACTTTGTGTGTCTAACACCTGATATTGGGGCAAGAACAGATACATATGCTGCTAAAATAAAATGGATAGTAAACAGCCTGAAAGAAAAACTTGTATTTCTGCTGTTGTTTTTATCTATGGAAATCCTGAAAACAGTTAGTTAAAAGAAAACATGTTTAATAAAAGTCACACAATTTAGTGCCAGTTGAATAAATTCAGTCAGGCAACTTGTCTCAAGAAATTAACGCCTATTGCAGATGACTGAGTCATGTTCTTTATCAGCTGCTTATATAGGAAGTTTAAATTGTTGTTGTCTGCCTCTTCATATACTCCTTTCATAGTTCCTCATACAAAATAAATGAATAAGGGCATATTCCCAAGGTACATGTATGACTTTGCTTTAAAGTCTCCATGTCTTGCAAAACATAAAAGTAACCTGAAAATTTGAGATTACACTGCATATTAGCAAATATTTCTTCTCTGCTCAAGATGGGACCTATGCCCTCTCACCCTCTCAGTCACATCTCTCCAAAAGATTCTGCTGTTTGAAAGCTACTTTTCTGTAATCTGGAATCACAAGCATTCACATTAATAAAGCATTAAACAAATTCTTGAAACTAAATTATCAAAAGAACCAACATTTAAGTATTGTGAAACAAAAAAATATTTTAAACACACTTCATCAGTAACATCACATTTTGCCTAACCACAAATTCATACAAAGACTTGTTTAACTAAGTTAGTGATCGCACTCTGCAGTCCTAATAGAGTCCTAATAGAGACACCCTTTTTATAAATATATTACATGATTAGAGCAGTGAAAACTTTTTTACCCAATCCTTACCTCTCAGCCTTGATCTGCGTTAGACATTTTCAAATACAATGTAGCACAATCCCTACTCAAACTTTGCAAGCAGAACCATACCTCAGATATAGCACCTTTTCTCAGAATTACCACCACACACTTTCACAAACTTTCTCTATTCAATCTTTTAAAAATGTAAATAGTTATTATTGCTCCCTCCAAATCACCCAGTAGGTTTCCTTTATTTACATATTAAATTATTACCAGAACGCTATCATTGAAATTAAACCCTGAGAAATTCTATTAAAAAAATACTAGAGATTTTATGGTTATATTGAAGTCGGATACAATTAGATAAAACTTTCATAAACAGATCTTCCATAACAGTATGCTTAATGAGCTATAGGAATACCTCAATATTTTTACTGGCAACATTCTTCACAACAGCAGGAAACAGTTCAGAAGCATTTTTTCCCTTTGCAATCATCTAAGAAAAAAAAACAGAGAGAAATCTTCATAATGTAATACTATAATCTGAGCGAGGTTTTGTTTTGGCGTTTTTTGTTTTGTTTTGGGGGGGGTGTTTTGGTTTTGGGGTTTTTGTTTGTTTGTTTAAGAGACAGGCATTTATTCCAGATCTGTGTTTCAAACCTGATTTTTTTGTTAGCTATTAGACTTTACAGGATACTATCCATACTACAAAACCCCTGAGTGCTGGCTGGTTACAAGTTTGGGGGGTGGAATCAATGAACTGGACTTTACCATATCAAATAGCAAATAATATTTAGTGCTTTAAAAATTACTTAAAACAAAGATCTGGCTAATCTGAAAAGCTTTACAGAATTACGTTTTGGGACCTGCTACGCAAAAAACCCACCACCCCACCTAACAAAAAACAACAACAAAAAACCATCAGGAAAAGTTGTAAAAGTTTAAGCCCTGTTCCTTTTCCCTGGTACAATCTTGGCATGCAACAGAACCAAGGAGAAAGAAAAATAGACATAACACGGCGAAAACAAAGCAAGGTTGTTTTCTATAGCAAGTTAAACACAAAAGGCCTTAAAGTGTTTATACAGAATGAAAAAACAAGGTAAAAAAGCAACATCAGTCAACCCACTGTGATTTTCTTTTTAAAAAAGGAAGAAAGTTTTCATATTTGATCTCAGGGAAATCTGGAACTAGGCATGTAGTAAACAATAAAATTGTCTCAATAAAGAGCATAAACAATAAAACCCCAGTTTAGCTTCAGCCCTTGTATGAACAGCTTGAGGAGGAAGTCATTTATAAGAAACCAAGTACATTAGAAGGAATAAAATACTTAAATATACATTACGGCTGCACAACTCTCTTATTTCTTAGATCTAATTCCAGAAGAATGTGTGCCACTACTTCATGTCCAAGCTGCAAACCCTGGAATTTCATGAACGTACTACATCAAGTTACAGTGCTGCTGAATACTCAGAGCACCCCCAGCTATGGTCAAGGGCAGGATCCAGTCAGTCAACCATCAAGCTAATCAGAAAGGGCAAGACCTCACCAAAACAAGCAAATATGCAGGGATCCAAGAGAGGAACACAAGTTTTGCAACTGCAGTTAACTGCTGTTCATAACCATCTCACATTCCCACCATCAGTCAACATTATACAGCTGATTAAACTTCGTATTCCTAACTCACAGGTGTGTTCACGTATTTCATTGATAAAACATAGTAAGGGCACAAATAACTAGGATCTCATCTCTCAACAAAAGCAAAAAACCACAAAACCAGGCAGTATCTTAAACTGTATATTCAGAGAAGGTTAGAAGACACTAGAAGAAGAAAGAAGGTAGTCGTAGTCCAAGCTATTACTGAGTGAGCCTTTCAAAAGGGCTTAAGAGCAGCTGTCCAGCATGACATTTCAATTTGACCAACTTAACATCTTAAACTATTTCTTGCAGCTGTACTAAAGCACAGGGAGTGACAAACTAAGAAGCAAGCACATTGTATGGATTTCAAGGGGTTTTAACTAAGAATCTAAATTAAACCACTGCTCTCAGGACCAGGGGGTCTTTGTAATACGTCAGATTCAGAATGACCGAGTCAAGTAGAACTTAGTAGCAAGATGCACTGCAGAGAAGTATCATAGGTTAAAATATTATCAATCATCTCATCTTGATGCAACAAAATTTATATTATTCAAAAATAGGGATGATCCTTAGACTTCCCTGATCAGCTATAACAGCATGACTCTATGCATTAGTTGCGTTATTTAACTGATCAACCATAACAGCTCCAGTGTACCATGTAAATATGTATTTAGGGTCTTTTAAAAGAGTGTATTTTGACTCATTAAGTCATGATGATTAGCGTAAATCCTCCTTAGCCCATGGATCATTAACCTGAAAGAACATAATGGTTCTTTCCAAGACTAAGGTCTATCATGTCATTTTTGTTGCTGTGCCTACACATTCTCAAATTGTGTTGTCATAAGATACCTGGAGTTCCTGCACAGACAGAAACTTCCATTCTAGAGTAAGTGCTATGTAATGTCAGGGTGTCCCGACTTTTTTTTTTTTCCCCCATGAGACACACACACACAGAGACATGGATGAAACTCTCTGTGGGAAATCAGGCATGTGAATTTGTTTCCTAAATTTATGCTCCAAAATATTCAGGAGCAGAATTCCACTAACACTTTTTTCCCCAGATGAGAATTCAGATAGGTTTCAAGACCTGGTAACAAGAATATCTTGGTTGTTGTAGTATCAGTGTCTGTTTTAAAAGAGATATCAGCTATTGTGTTTTCATGCATATAGTAGAATAAACTTGGTTTGGCACACACTTCAAATTTATTTCTAAACCAGTAGTTTAGAAATAGTTTTAGTTTTGCTCTTAATCTTCCAAAGATTGCAATTATGGCATGCATGTAAAGAAGAAACATAAAAAAATAACAGACTGACTGAAAAAAAGACATCATTGATCATTAAAGTCACACTTACATATTTTAGCTGAAGGTAGGCTTAGACACCTTCATGTAAGAGGGGGACTGGAAAGATCAAAACTGGACTACTCCTATGCTTGAAATTACATTGTTAAAAAGTCACTCTCTGCAAGACAGATTTGTTTTGATTTGTAATGAATCTCCTTCTCCCCAGGAGAGAGTTTGCAAACCACCTTAAAGGAAGAAGCAGCAAAAGGATCCATAAGCAGTGTTCTCCTGGCACTTTTCCGCCACACCTATATGGACAGATAAAGGTTCAGTCTCTTGCAGTGTACTAAAAGAGTAAGAAAACTATTGGTATGCAGAGCTTTTTTCCCTACCTAAAATAAAATGAGCATTCCAACGAGACATGTTAAACAATACTCTGACAATAGAGTTCCTCTTTCCTCTAATAATAAGGCTAGAGGAAGCCTTTCATCTCTGGAAAACACATCTTATCCCTGAGAACTCTCTAAATGTAAGCACACAACTGGTAACACACAAGTGTCTTTGTGCCCAGCAAGAACCTTATCACCATTGCTACAAGGCTGTCCTGGTTTCGGCTGGGATAGAGTTAATTTTCTTCCTAGTAGCAGGCATAGTGCTATGTTTTGGATTTAGTAGGAGAAGAATGTTGATAACACACTGATGTTTTTAGTTGTTGCTAAGTACTGCTTATGCTAGTCAAGGACTTTTCAGCTTCCCATGCTCTGCCAGGTACACAAGAAACTGGGAGGGGGCACAGCCAGAAGAGTTGACCCAAACTGACCAAAGGGCTATTCCATACCATATGACGTCATGCTCAGTATATAAACTGGGGGGGTTGGCCGGGGAGCAGCGATCTCTGCTTGGGAACTGTCTGGGTATCGGTCGGCGGGTGGTGAGCAATTGCATTGTGCCATCACTTGCTTTGTATATTATTATTGTTATTATCATTATTATATTGTTATTATTATCATTACTATTTTACTTCATTTCAATTATTAAACTGTTCTTATCTCAACCCAGGAGTGTTTCTCACTCTTACTCCTCCGATTCCCTCCCCTATCCCGCTGGGGTAGGGGGAGCGAGCGAGCGGCTGCGTGGTGCTTAGTTGCTGGCTGGGGCTAAACCACGACAAAGGCCTTATGCTAATTGTGCAAGGTCCCAGTCCTGGCCTGTAAAGCTGATTGTTTCAGTTTGTTACGTGAACCAGAGGTTGGTACCAGGTATCTGTTATGAAACGGTTTAAACACAGGATAACAGCAAATACCTTGAAAACATGGAAGAGACTGAAAACAGTAATTCAAACAACTCATTCATGGTTAAGTAATGGTCAACCTTATGAGCTAGAAGGCTGTTTCTGCTTTAAGAAAAGAAGCAGCAGCTGAGCGAGGAAAATGTAACCAGGAACAGAAGGTACCTGCTGCCATCTGGGAATGTAGTGCTCTTCCAGCATTGCGTGTTGCTTAGAACAACGACAGAAACCAAGGACTGGGAACTTATAAAAGGACAAAAACCTGGAACTGGGAAATGGAGGAACAGAAGAAAGGATGTGCTCAATTCAGTTGTGCCTTCCCTTGCTGAAGAACTCTTGAGCCTGATCACCTCAGCCTAAGACCATCAAGGACCACAGCTATCAGTGCTAACTACACATCTCCAGCTCCATGGTATCGTATACTTCTAGGAAATTAAAGAAACAGTTGTTAAGAACTGCTTTGAATATGTAGCAGCAGCAGATATTTATAATGAGTTCATTTGCTCATTGCACACTCATTTATAATGAGACCATTGTTTGTAGGAAAAAAAATAATGGAAAAAATCCAAAATCCACTTAGTAAAGTCTTGGTTTAAAATTTAAAGCTGACCCAATTTAATAGTTTCTAATTCCCCCATATACATGCATACACACTCACATTCAGTTGCAACAGTTTCTAAATACAGTTAAAGATTGGCCACCTTTATGAAAAAGAAAACCAAGGGAGCAACAGGCAACTCTCTCCAACCCTCCTGCTCACAGTAATAGCCAGAAGAAAGATCTTTTCTGAGGGAAACAGAAGAATGTTAAGTTACCATAGGTTGAAACCATGGCACTTCTAAAGGCCATGTTTTCTTGCAACAGCACCTCTTGACTGTCACTAGTCAAACCCTGAGGAATCCCACATCATGCTGGAGAAGATGAACCAAGAAACCTTTCACCAAAAAAAAAAAAAAAAAATTATGTTATGAAATCGTAGTTGATAGGTTACCTAGATCTAATGGGTAATTGGTATCTCTGGCAGGACCAGGATCAAAGGCGAAAGCAGAAAACAACCAGCTTGAGTAAAACCTTCATCACTAGAGGATAATGAAGGGAGAAATTGCTAGCTCTAGGGTCAGAGGAAAGAACATGATCACATGATGCAGTCTGTACCTACTCACTTCAGTACCTGCTTGGATAGGATTAACCCACATAAAAACCAAGCAAAACAAAAAAGCACATCCAGAGGAGACTGAAGGAACAATAAGACAAAACAACTGCAGAAACCCCCCAAAAAAAGAAGTCAAGTGGACACCAATACTTTTAAGAAAAAATAAAGGGACTAGTATCAACCTCATGATGTTTAATTTATAGCGTTTAAACACAATGGTATTAAGCATTATTTAATCACCTCTATGGGTACACATTTCACCTGAAATGCTTAGTCAAATATATAGGCAACAGACTCAATTATAAAAAAATCCTTATATAATCTAAAAAAGTAAAAATAGTAAATGCATTTTGCCATTTCACTCCTGCAAATTTCTGTTGTTTCCAATCTCCTGAATTAAGACAACAATTGAACCTTCTCTGAGGGAACCATATCCTATTTATGATCTCACCTCTGTACTGAAAATAGTTATTTACAGGCATATTGGCACTGTTACGTAAATATTTTAAAAGTATAAGACTGAGTATATTTTCATATAGCAATTTCTACACAAAACTCCAAATTAAGGACTTCACAGTAGCTTTTAAACACCATTTAGAGATTCAAATTCTGACTTGGTACAGGATCTGTAAAGCAAAAACATTATTCACATCCAAGAAATAAAAATAATAATAAAAACCCAGATATCCTAACAAATAAAAAAGGATAGTAAAAAAGTCACATACCCCAACAATCCTTTTCATAGCATCCAGCTTTGCAGAATCTTTACTGCTTTCCAACATTTGTTTTAGGTCTTCATTTCTATGGTAGAAATAAAGTAAAACATCAATTAGAAAAAGTAAAAAATAAAATCAGTGACTTAAGGTGACACACTGCTCCTTCTTACCCACTTCTAAATTTTATTTGTTAACATGCTGGTCTAGTATGATGAAGTGTTTAGTAAAAGAATCTATCAGATTCCAACAATAATGCAAGCCCATGCAACTTCAGTCTGCTGTTAGCTGAACCTTGGATGTTGAAGTCTTGAGGCAAGAGAAGGGCTCAATTTGAACCAATAACTTATTCGCTCCTCCCTTTTGCCCCAGTGAGGGCCAGATGTAATAGCCTGAGGTTGACATGTTTGTGTTAAAATATAATACCAGCTTATGTAAATCACTGAATAGCCCAATAGCAGACTTCAGTATGGTCTGAATTTCAACAAGAATTGGGCATATAACTTTACGTTTTCATCTGCCTTTCTGGATTGTAACTTGCTATACCCAGGATTAAAAGCCTCACATCTGTAGTATATCTATTCTATATGTCATAAGATTAAGACAGCATTAAGATAGATTAAGATTATGATTAGACACATACAGCATCCAAGCACTTTTTACAGCTGAAATAAAATTCTGACACAAAAATATTAAGTCAATAAGGATCTTCTCTCGTAGATACAACTTCTCATTAGCCATCACTAATAAGAAACCTCACCCTGCTTGGCTTTTTAGATGCAAAGAGATCACAGTCTAACTGCACTTATAGACTCTGAAAGTTTACAGAAAAGATTCTTTGAAGAAATAGCCTTTTGTAATGCCTAGATTGCTTGAGTACTAAAAAATATGAAGCAAACAATGGCTCAAGAAGAGACACCTGCAATATTCCAAAGAACTCTGAAAACTTCCCAAGTTTACAAATCCTGTGAGCTTTCACATAGTAAAGGGCAACACAGAAATCCAGACATGATTTCAAAAATGAATGCAAAACCCAGATACATTCTGATTTATCACTGCTCTCAGAATTTCAGATGGGGATGAAAAAGAGTTCTAAGACAAAGCCAGAATTGGTTACAAATGAAACAAAATGTTGTCATCCATTCCTTCACAAACATTTAAATAGCATTTTTCCTACTTGCAAGGAATAGAGTCACTCTAAGAGAGACGACTTCCCCTGTATTTTCAGACTCAGTACTGCAAGTATTCTGTGCCCCTTCATGAAAAATCCGCATTGCCCACACACTTCAATCTACATCCACAAAATTAAGAACCACAACCAGATGGGGAAAAACCCCAAACATTTTTTCCTAATAAGCCGGAATTAAAACATGCAAAATTTAGGATGCAGATACCTACATGCAACTTCCAATTGAAGTCTAACTGCTTTTTCAAGACCAAGTGTTTCATGAAATACCGGAGCAACCTAATTCAGATGGCCTCTTGTAAATATTGGCTTCACTTGACAGCTTAATATTCAAGTATTATCTTTAAAAGAAAAAAGTGGAAGCATTTGATTTCCTCACCTGCTTCAGCACCATTTCTCAAATATCACTGGGAACACCTTACTTTGCATAACGCTCAAAGGTTTTTACTGTTTTTAGTTACTCCTGGAAGTGTTTAAAGAACTATATGGTCAGTCTTCTATTGTTAAATTTACTTAGTTGTTTGCTTCAGTGCTTTAAATTATGCTTCCCGTTCAACTTTTTTCTGTAGTTTTGCATACTGTTGCAATCAGTTTAACATCTATAGTTGGCCACCTTCTCCAAGGCAAGTGGTAACCCCCAGTGTACCTTCTTGTAACACCACCCCAAGCTGACAGATCTGTTAAATATAGCTAATGCTGTGATTTCACAGACCTTTTCCTATTGCCCTCCTCTCAACTCCCTGGGATAAAGGCACAGACCTCCCTCCACGTTAAGTGCTCTGGTCTTCTGATTTCACTTCAATCATGCTTGTGTTCACCTCTCTAACATCACACTTAGCCACTCTGTATTTTTCCCTAAGCTCTATATCCTTATTTTTGATATCAGAAATCAAATATTTGTTGGGATAGTGTTGTACCCAAAATACCTTTAATAATTTGCCCTTTTTTTTTTTTTTTACCTTTCCATCTCTCTGTGTAGTTCCATTTGTAATTAACTTTTAAGGAAAGCTAGCTTGATTTAACTTTTGGCAGCTCTCTTTATTCCCATTGTTCTTGGCCACAGTGACAGCTTATTTTGCTAACCATTCCCATCCACTTACTGCTCACAGGATACCAAGTCAGTCTCAGTTCTTCTAGATCAGCTTGAAGCACCTTGCCTGAGACACTGCTCTAGTTGGATACAGAAGTTTCAGAGACTTCTAATTCCTTCTGCTTAAGTCTTAACCCTTACATTTTAAGCTTAGCTTGTGAAAGAAGCTATATGACAGTTATCAAAGTTACATAGCAGAAGACTGGACTTGATTTAGAAAGTCACTTCTAGTCCTATGCTCCTGCTTCCAGTTTCCTACTGCTATGTCACATAATCACACACAAATGGAGATAGAGACATCAGTAAAAGCTAACGCACAGGATAATATTACTAAATTGTGATCACCTAGTTCTCATATTTGGTAGGAAGATGCTTCAGTTCCTTGGCACAACCAACAAAGCAACTACTTTTCAAAAAAATTTGTATCTGACTAAAGAATCAAAAAGCATTGCATGAATAAGACATTGCAGCAACTGCTTAAGATTCAAGTCTGGGAATACATCTACTCAATAAAAAAAATAACAAAAAAGTTAACAAAAAAAAAGAACATGTCAAGAAAACTTGCAAGTGAGAAAGAAAATGTTGAAGTAATAATTTGAACTTGAGGATCAAATAGCAAAAATGGAGGAAGTTACACTGCACAAGATTCAAGTACGTGCTAAAGACTACCTCCCAGAAGTTGGGAATAAAAGCAGACAGTAATCACAGGATGAGTATGAGTTACCAGTGTAAGAAATACAAACAAAAAAGGCAAAAGGTGAATTTAAGATGTGAAGACAGAAGAAAGAAATATTTAATGATGAAATGCACTTCTAACTACTTATAGAAAATATTCTACCACACATTTCAAATTAAACCATTTTGAAATTATAACAGGGAATATATAAACCAGAGAAATGAAGACCTGCTTACAGCCAGCCTTGCTTTCCTAACAGAAAAGCAGCAGGGGAAAAAAAGAAAAATAGAAAGAAAACCCACAAGTTTTCAATGAATCCATTTGGAAATTAATTGCTATTTGAACAGATGTATCTTTTCTAATCTTTCATAACAAATAATCCAGGATTAGCAAGCATTAGATACTTACAGAGTAAAATATTGCTCCATATATTCATATGGATCATCGGCAGCAAGCCTTTCTTCTTCTACAGTTAGATAGGGTTTCAGTGTAACCTCAAAGTTTCGCCCTTTAAGAGCAGATTTAATAGTGCAAGACACCTCAATTATTTTACCCAGCATTGTAGAATTTCGTTCCATTCTTTTAAGACTGCACTCAACCAAGCTTGCCTGCCAGGACTGAGGTCTACTCAAAAAAAGAAAATCTTATTAAGTAACAGGATACCCACTCCCTTGCTGGTTTAACTTCCAGAAACAAATACCCTACGCAGATTTCAAAGGTCATTTCCCTCCAAAAACAACTCTTATCAGCAGCCTCAGTGAACAATGTGAAAGGTAAATGCATTTCAGTCTTTTATAATATAGTTTATTGTACAGTACAAAAATATTTTCATCCTCTGAGCATTAAGAAGATTTAAGGGAATATTAATCCTTAAGTAAAATCACTCAAAACAGAAAGCATAAATGCAAGCCTCACACTGCTGCTCATGTTTCTACACTCATTAGTTATTCTGAAGTGTCAGTTCTTCAGCACACAATGTTAGACAAATAATTTCTTTATCACTTATGTCCACCTGCCAGGAGCTCAGGAAAATGCAAGCAACTCTCCAGCTGCATCAATACCTTTGCCTCTCCCCACTAAAACTTTGAGAGTAATTCTAGCCTTACAGAATTAGGTACATATTACAGATGACTGAAATAAAAGCTTTATTACTTCAGCAGCAAAACCAGGTTTAAAGAAGCCTAATGTGATAGTTTACGAGTAATATGGAGCTATATGAAGCAGGACAGTAATGGTCCCCAGAACAGTAGGTGCAAAAAAACCTTTATAAGAGTAAATATATTGTCTCTGAGCCCATTTTCCATAACAGTAAGAAGAGATGAAATGACTGTGAGAGGGAAAAAGAAAAAGCAAAAAGACTCCCAGCTGTCTGCCCACTGCCATATATAAGAATGCAGTGAGATTTCCCCGAGTTCCCAAGCTGTAGTCTAGTGTCTTAACCTCTATATAACATGACCCCACTGTCCCAAAAAGTTGCCAGTTTGAAAGCACTAGTATGGACTATCGTTAGAATTATTATACCCATGTACAACATGAACAGGCTATGAAATACAATCTTTATTATGTACAGGGCATCTACCGAAAAAGGCAATGAGCCAATTATTAATATATTAAGGAACCAGTACTCAGCTGCCTTTGCAATCTTTACCACCACAGGCTTGTATTCCTCAGTATAAGAATTTGAAAGCTAAGGGAGTGTAAATTAGAAATGCAAATTAATCACCTAACTTTCTCTCATAGCAAGCATCACATGACAGATCTGCAATCATACAACATGATGGACATCACAAACCACATCCAGAGTAGTACATTCTCTTTAAATCACTGGTCAAATGTTAAATGGAGGAAGCAATTTCTAACTTTCTTCTATGTTTTCATATTTTATGATTGTAGCCTTAAGATACATACTACTTTTGTCTTTCTAACTCAAAGCACTGCTTTCTTCACATGCCTGTGCACCATTTATGGAAACAATAGGGGTATGGATATGATAGGACCTATGATAGGCCTACCAGTTAGGATTAATCTTATAGATGTTACTGTAAGAAAGTAAACAAAAAACACCAGTTAAATTTTTCTAGTTCTTATTCTCTTTCGTGCTCCCTCTACACCCTTGCCATTAAAAACATAAA